GTTGACCAAGATAGAATGAGAAGCCAAAGGGACAAACACACAAGCTAACATTCTGCACCTGCCAGAGAGGATTGGTGACTTGCTCAAAGTCACACAGTGTGGGAACTCAGGTCCTGTGGTGCTGATTTCATGGCTCTTCCTGTGCTAAGGTGATCTTCATGCATCTTTGCTCAGTCTTTGATGTGAGGAGAGCAGAAGGTAGGTCGCTTCAGACCCCATGGTGGCAGAGAGACGTCAGGGAGTCTTGAGAATAGTGTAGGTGTTTGTGGAGACACACATGGGGCTGAGGGTAGGTAGCTGGACCTGGGAGAGGACTTGGGGCTGGGTGGAGGTAAAGATTATTCATAAGGGAGTCACAAGCTAAAAACATTAAGGAACAGTCCCCCAAGGGTCAGTTGCAGTCTTCAAGTTTCAACTCCTGGGATCTCTACTCCTATAGCACTATCAACCCAACAAATGGATTTTAGGCCAACTTCCAGCAGCCCGGGACACACCAGGTGTCCATTGTCAGTGGAAAGTAGAATTAAATAACAGCAGCATGGAGTGGAGTGATAGCACTTGACTGGGAGTTGTGGTGGCCTCTCCTCCCAGCTCAGCCATCACAGGCAATGTCTAGGCAAAGCCCTCTACCTGGCAGGCCCCAGTCCCTGCACTAGAGTTTTTCAGTCTGAATCACCTGGACAGCTACCGAGATGGTAGGCCCCAGGCCCACCTCAGAAATTGGGTTCAGTGAGTCTGGACTGAGGCTCAAGAATGTGCCTTGATAACAAATGCCTCCAGGTGATTCTGGACTATTCCTTGTCCTAGGCCACAGTTTGACCAATTTGGTCAACTCTAGAGATTTTCACAGCTTCCCTAGGGAAAAAAAAAAAATAACCAACCAAACAAAAAGAAATCCAGATTCCTTTGGCCAAGTAGAGGAGGGGAGACACTTTTCCAGGTAACCCTGCCTGTTAGCATGGGGTGGGCCAGCAGAAAAGGCTTAGTTAACCTTGCTGGCTGGCAGGCATGGCCAGGAAGGGCCCTGGCCTATAGAGAACCAGTACAATCAGCTACAGCAGTGGCGGGGGGTTGGGCAGTGATGGCAGATTCCCCGTATGACAGCATAACTAGATGTCTGCCAGGTTTCTGACCTCCCACTCCCCTCCATCTCCCCTACCTTCACCTCAAATCCCAAGCAGACCAAAGTTCATCTGAACATATTTGTACAGCAGAGAGCAGAGTTCAGGGCCTGGAGCCCTGGAAACGCATAGTGTTCTCCCAATTTCCAGGAGATGAACAGGTGAAGAGACCAAACCAGAATTCAAGAGGCTGGGCAGCCACCCCAGGATTCAGTTTGATTGTGGGAAACCATCTCACCTCAGTTTGTCTCTCTGTATATGGCCTTCTACCCATTCTTGACCAACAAAAGCCCCATTTTCAGGAATTCCTTCCTCCTCCACAACGTGCTTAGCCAGTTTAGTGCCTGTTTCTTGCACTAAATTAAGGCCTGCCCCATCTTTGTTTTCTAGCATGCCAGCACATAATGGGTGTTCATCAAATTAAAGCTAGAATTGAATGAGACAAGACTAGTCATCCAGCTGAAAAGGTACGGACATCATCGTAAGGCTTATTGTTTTAGATAAATCACCAATGTAATGTATTATTGATTACAAGTTTACTAATTGTTCTGTAAATTAATATACTATAACATGTTCCAGCAATAAGAAACTATTCACAAATCAGTATTGGGTAATAGCTAAAGGAACCCCAATGATAAACCACACATAGTAGAAACAGGAAGTGATAGTACTCAGCATCTATTGTTTAATGAGTTTCAAAGTGAGTACAAGTGTACCTTATAAAATAGAGATGGGTAGAACTATTATTTTGGTAAGCAGGGAAATAATTTCTTCCAGAAAGACATACAGGGCCACAAAAGTTGTATACACAGTTTGTAACCGTGATGGAAGCAGGACAAGAGAAAAAGAGTTCCTTTGGAGTCTCATATTTATCCCACCAAAGACAAGAGACAAGAGAAGGCCCATCTACAGAGAGACAAACAGTGAGACAACCTCGATGTAGGAGTTCTGCATAGGAAGGCATGATGTAGGAAGCTAATAGAAGGTATTTCTCTCTTGGATCCAAGGTAACCCCTAACAGGAAGGGAAGTCTGCGGACACCAAGTTTTGACAGTTAATGGTGCCACCTGGAGTCAACTGAAGAAGGGTAGAGTAGGAGGATTGTATTCATGAGAGAATACTGTTTCATGGAATAACATTAGGAAATTGCAAAGTTCGGGACTGCAATACTTGTTCCTAGGCCCATTAGATAAGATTCCCTGCAACTTCTTATGAATGTAGTGGGGGAAAGAAGATTCACATGGTCTCCTATTCGGGCAGGATGCCCAGGCTTGTTAGCTGGCTTCCGGGAGAGGGGATGTAACGGGGAAATGTTTAATTTGTAAAATTGGTGAGGGGTTAGTGAATAAGAGGGATTGATGGTCCTGAGATGTTTGTGACAAAATACGGGAAGCTGTGGCAGAAAAAAGGGAGAAAAAAAAATAGCTCAAGGACTGAGATCAAGACCCAGAGCCATACTGGAGGCATTTTGCTCTGTGATGCCCTGTGATTGGCATAGCTGAAACACTAAGGAAAGGGAGGGGGAAATATTTTATTCCGGGAGCCCCAATTTCATCATTTATAAAGTACACACAGCAGTCATTTATACCCATAGGTCTGTTGTGAAGATTAAATAAGATCACGGCAAGGCTAATAGATGCTCTTCTTGCAACCTTAGTAAATAGTACTTTGGCTGGTTAATTACAGGGAACTGTCAACATTGTATTGTGGAAGATAAAGGCACTATTGAGTCACTCATCATTATGGGCATGAGTCCCATTCCCTCTCCTTTTAGTTCTCTGTCTCTCTCTGTCTCTCTCTGTCTCTCTCTGTTTCTCTCTCTCTCTGTCTCTCTCTCTCTCTCTCTCTCTCTGTCTGTCTCTTTCTGTCTCTCTCTCCTCCTTCATTGCTCTGCTTACTTTAAAATATTTATAGGAATATGGCATTTTAAAATGATATGCAATGACATTTGGGTGGGTTCTGAACATTCTCTTCTCCCCTCTAGTTAGAAACTTACACAGATGACTTGAAAAATGAAGCAATATAGTTTATTTTGTAAAGTAAGGTAGTGTGTAAGGCAGTGTCAGCATTGCTTGAGGTAATGAAAAGTATTCCTCTGTTTAATTTGTTACAAAAGTCTCTTGTGACAACCTGGAAAATGAGCTGAAGGAGTATGTTGTTGCTTCCTGAAGTAAACTGGTCACAGCTAAAACACATTCTCTGCCTGAACAAGCAGCTGGGATCCAGGCCCATCTAAGTTAGGAAGCCTCAGATCTGTGTGACTTTGACTTCAGTCATGCCACTATAAGGAAATTCCAAAGAAGCAGCCCCTTACACCCAAACTAATGGAGATGTCAGTGACAACCAACAAAGGGCACAGAGGGTGTGCTGAGGCCGCCTCTCCACAGCTATAGAAGTTTATGACAAAATGCCCTGAAGAGTTAGAGTGCTAGAGTGTCCTGAAGCCACGGTGGAAGGGACACACACTGATATGCTGCCTGTTATTCACAGAACAACCACTGACTCCCTGATACCTGTGGCACTCTCCCTGCTGTCACTCAGATTGAAATCTTTCCTGTGAGGGAAGCAATTCTGCAACAATGTTACAATTTTCAGTCAAGAAAACAACATGACCTGAAAATGACACTCCTAGATATTTATCAAACCGAAAACCTCCATCCATACAAAGTCATACACAAATGCTCATAGAAACTCCATTCATAATGGAATGTGAATCTGCTTTACAGACTGAGGCTGACTATATTTCAAAACAAGAGTTTAGTTTGTAATCCCAGATTTGGGAGCCTAAGGCAGGAGAATCACCATGAGTTGGAGGCCAGCCTGGCCTACATACTGAGTTCAAGGCCAGCCTGAACTACATAGCAAGACCCTATCTTAGAAACAAAAAAGCCAGAGTTTAGTTTTTTCTTGAACCACCCATAGCAGTCCACATTTGTCACTGAGATGTACACTTTTGATCACAAAGGACAAACATGACCAAGAGAGTATTGGGCCAGCTGTGATGCTTGTAGATATCCAGGAAGCCCAAAGCACTGCCTGGCCCTGGATTTCTCCAAAGATGGACACTTCATCCATGAGTGACAAGAGCTTCACCAGTAGCAGAAGGCCCACCTGATTAGTTTGTGTTTTCTACTTTCTTTGACATTAGTATCAAGATCCAGAAGTTCATTAGCAGTGTCAGACTGCTGAGGGGCAGAAGCCAGAATCAGCAGTATCACATACATGACTTTTTAATCTTCACAGTATGTTGAGACAGTAGGTTATGTTGGAACCCATTTTGCTGATGAGGAAATCAATCCCCACCGAAGTAAAGTAACTTTCCTAAAACCATATGGCTGGTAAATCTTGGGCTGCAGTTGAACTCACATGGTCTGGTTACAGTAGCTGAGGATGCCATTCACAGGTAGAATGAATCACCTGGATTGGTGTCTGAACCAGACCAAATGGGGGCCCAAGAGGCCTATCCATGAGGACATACACAGTAGGCTGCTCTGTCAGCCAGGTAGGGCTGCACAGGAGCAGGCCTGCCACAGGCCACACCCGCCGGCTGGCCCCGAAGCCCTCCTGAGATGCATGACAGGAGATAGGCTTTAACAGCCCACTAGCTGAGCGAGTCCTCTCAACAGCCCAGTGCCATGAGTACCACTGGAGTCCCCACTCGGCGCGTCAGAAAACAGAGGCAGAGAGGGGCGAAGCACTTCCCCTTCACCTCCCAGCTACTAAGTGGCAAAGTCAGGTCTAACACCTATGTCTTTTCTGACACCAGGGCTGGGCTCTAATCTCTAACTTCTCTGAGGTTAGAGAAATCAGCCACAAGGAAAACATTGTGCAAGAAAGGAAGGTCTTAGCCGCTTTTCATTAAAGTAGGCATTTCTGGGTTTAATATGCAATCAGTGATGGGGCCAAAGGCTACTGCACAGCTGCCCAGGTCTGGCCACAAATAAGTGGGGGAAAGCAATTAGGCTAAGGCCTTAATCGCTGGTTTATTCTGCACTTAAATAGCAAAAGCTTGCTGAGGCTCCATAGACGATGCACAGGCAGGAAATTCCCACAGGCTTAGGTTGCCCTCCACATCCTGACAGCCCAACCCAGCCCCACCTTCAGGAGATGAACGCTCTCCATTTGGAACCGTGGGGATTGGGAATCAGAAAAACTCTGGCCAAGAATCTGAGATGCTCTGCGAAAAATGCATTTGGAAACCAATAGTGCATTACTCTTAGGAAGTCCTCTGGCCTTTGAGGGCACAAATAAATGGATGTCTCTGGCTCCGGGGCCCTTTTCTCTACAGGCTCCACAGCACCCAGGGACCCGCTCTCCTTTCTGGGCCTTCCGGGGCGAGGCCAGCGCTTCCTCCCAGTCCAACGCCTCCCTCCCTCCCTGTCCAGCATCATGATTGTCTGCTACGCCCAAACCTCATTCTCTAGGGTTTGAAACAGCTGTGTGGCCAAGATGGAGAAGCAGCACCACATTCAGCTAGAAGTGGCTGGAGAAACGTCTCTGAGCTCAGGCTCTCTCCTGCCGCAGTTGGAGTACCCTTTGCGCGGGCGATGCTGACGCCTGCTGGCCTTGTGCAAGATTGCAGCTTGGCAGACCACGGGAAGACCGTGAGTGTGACCCAAGGAAAGAGCTGGACACAGCTCGGCAGGCAGCCCAAGACTCTGAGAAGGAGGTGGTGGGTCTGGAGGGAAGGTGGGAAAAGGCAAGGCTGAGAGTTCTGGGCAGCAGAGGCCCTGAATTCTAGTCTTGCCCCTTCTGCCACCCAGCGCTCGGTGCCTCAGCCTCTCAGGTCTCAAATGCTGTCTGTTCCTCCTTTTCCAAGGAAGGAGAAGGGTAAGAAAAAAGTAAGATCTGTGACTTGAATATCTCTGGCGGACTCTTCTCATTCAGGCGTCTTCCTTAGGACCTGACAACCCCAAGCCTGAACCACGGAGCTGTGCTCAGTTAACAGATGGTTAGGACTCTCAGAGAGCCAGGTCCTCATCGCTGAACCTTTAGAGGTTACCTTAAATGTCGAGGGAGACTTTGTAGGTGCGATTAAGTTAAGGATCTTGAGGTTGAGAAGAATGTCCTGAGCTGCTCCGGTGAGTTCTACTGGTAATCACAAGTGGAATAAAGGGAGGCAAGGGCGTGGGGGGAGGGGTCCATTCTTCCTTGATTCTGGCCCAGTGAAACTGGTTTTTCACTTCTGATCTCCAGAACTGTAAGAGAAACACGTTTGTGGAGATCTTCGTACAACAGTAATGGAAAACAAATACATGACCTTGTATTCCCAAACTTGTGCCTAGCACTGAAAGCAAAGCAGTTCCTTTTCTTCTTGCTTTGTTTCCTTCCTAACTTCCTTCCTTTCTTTCTTTCTTTTTTTCTTTTTTCTTTTTTTTTTTTTTTCTTTTTTTTTGACT